TATATGTATATATATATATATTCTTACAAACCACCAATTAAGCTTTAGTTGGGTGGAGTGGAACCTAATTAGTTTCAAATAATATGCAAATTTAAAATATATTTAGAGTAGGGCAACCTAATTAACAACCCGCCAATTACAAATAAGTAAGAGGAAGTCAACATCAATTGACGTAGAACGCAATCACGACAATAATTTAATTACTATTAATTAATGATTTGTTGACCTAATCTTTTTTGTTTGGGTAACTACTGCTGAGATAAGCTTTCCTCGTATGAGTGGTGACAATAATAATAGTAATTATTCCTATTATCGGAACCCCACGTAATATTTTTAAGTGCAAGTTAAACCTTAAGCGGCCGTCTGACAACGGATTTCTCTTGGGATTTAAGAGGGATGCATGTTAATGCTTACCAAACCGTTCTTTTGGACAAAATGAAGCAGCGGATTTGATAAATCCGAATTTCGGTTTTGGCCATAAATCTGGGATTTACTAAATCCCACGAATTTGGGGATTTACGGGATTTATGGCTTACGGAGGATAAGAACTCAGTTGAGAACGATGTGATGGGTTAAATATTGTCAAACATTTTTTTTTTACATTTTATAAGGTTTATTACACATTTTTATTAGATTTACAGGATTTACTCAAATATGTTGTCAAATAGTTTTCTTGACAAGATTTAGTAAATCCGAGAATTTGTTAAATCATAACAACTTAAATATAATCGTGGGCAGATAGCCTCTGAGAGTCAAATGTTGCATCTCATTGAGAAATAAATGTGATTTTTTTGCCAACAAATTTTCATCATTTGTCATAAATACTAGAATATCTTTTTAAGCAAGAAACATCCAAATTTAAATTAAAATTTATAAAGAACTTAAATTTCAACAAACTTACAGTGCAACTGACCGGCGTGACGAGCTCGTTGACACCCAAATTGATATAATCCGAGTCAAATCAATCCCAGATTAAGCCGTTGAATCATTTTTGAAAGCTTTGGATGGATCAAATGGATTTCAAATCTAACAATCTTATTGTCAAAATGAGCGTCTCAACAAGATGAATCCAATCGGCCCAACATCACTCAATTTTGACATCATTAAGACGCTCAAATGCTTATAAAATGTTTTCTAATCAAAAGAATCACCATTGGTTGTTTGATGGAGTGATTCTGATTGTTGCTTTATTAACAGACGATATCACTCCTAAAATCTATAAATAAAGTGATACCCTCTTCATGAAAAGAGGGGAAGGGTTAGATCAAGAACTCGATTAGGGAGAGAATGAAGAGAATCTGAGAGCAGCTCCAAATTCAAAGACCCGATGAACACTTCCTACCTCCGTAGTTGCTGACCACCGTCGACTACCACCCACGGGCTACCATCGACCACCATCTACCAATTTGAAAGTGAATTACTTTAACTGGGCTACGCCCCTTGGTTTTTTTTCCTCTATATGAGTTTTCACTTGAAAATCGAAGTGTCTCCTCCTATTACTTCTCTATTATCTGTCTGGGTGCTAAATTTTTGTACAATGCTAAAAAACAAAATAATTATTCTATCATCGTGAATCTTTAGACACGCAACAAAGTGAAAAAAAAGATGCATGAAATATACATATTAACTTTTTATTGAATTTCAAAGCAGTTCATTTTAATTTTTACTTTTCATTATATTTAAACGAGACCAAGAAGGCATTGCCATTTTCAGCATTTTGATCACATTGAACCCTCAAATCTTTTTCAGGTATTTTTTTTTAAAGTTATTTTCATTTGCAATGATATTTTGCGTTAGTATTCAATTAAATATTCGGATGATGACAAGCTAAACAAATAGAACTGTCAAAATCAAGTCAATGGGAAAAGAAGAAATGCATGCTCCTGCTAATGACTTTCTTAATAGGTTGGTGATCACATTCTTCCGTCCATAATATTAATTCCAAATGCGCAAAAACCTAATATTCTCTATACAACATATAAAAAAAAAATTTATTTATACGGAGTGTGACTTGTAAGCCGACACATCGTGCAAGCCACATAATAAGACTTTGTGCAAACTTGGCCTAGATGATGAAGTAGTTGACCTAAGCTCACATGTCAAAATGACTAAACTAAGCTCACTTTCCGAAGCCCAAAGCACCTAGATTTCTCTCTCTTGCGGAGATATCCCAACACATCTAGGGAAGGACAATTATCATGGATGGTCTTCGCCATTTGCAATGACACAAGTTCATCATTCTTTAAAACGTCATCTGATATTCACATCACGGTCTTTTGACAAAGACAACACAGATGGGCACAGTGCTATACAAAACATATTCTTTATATTTTCTTCTTCTTTATCTATAAAAGGGAAGTCGAGAGAAATGGAGGACGATTACTTTCTAAAAGAACCTCTCCCCTCTGTCGCCATCTCAATCAATCTCTCTCTCTCTCTCTCGCTCTCTCTCAAAAATTTTGATCTAGTAACCTCTATCGAGTAATTTTTGCTTGAACAGAAGGTTAAAGCTCAAGAAATAAAATTTGGAGACACTCTCTGAATCCACACATCCATCTATTACTTCCATATTCATTCTAATAACAAGGTCTTTACTGTGCTTTATGTACTCCAATGCAATACGAGACATTACATCTTCAAAAGTTTCAACATACTAAACGATGCGGTAAGCGTGAAGTACATAGATAAATTTTGCAATTAGATCCTTCCAGCATATGAATGAACAAAGAAAAACTAAAAATTCCACCAGGCAATTAGTGACATAGTAGATCAATGAGCTAAGAAACAAAACCATTAAAAAAACGTGCTTCACTTTTTTAAAAAATAACATTAATGATAGATATTTTTTATGTGAAATCAAATGATAGAGTGTTATTATATAAATAGAAAGTTTAGGCGTTAGATATACAACTACATAAGAATTATTTGGTAAGTATGTAAATGGCCCTAAATAAACTCCAATATGATATATGTAAATCCCTAATCCAAAATATTAGATAAATTTCAAATTATAAGTAGCGTCTGACATATTCATTTATTACTTTAAAAAAAAGGTAGGGCAATAGTCATAAAAGCCCAAAAGATCCCAAACACAAACCCAAATACTAACAAATTATTACCTGAAAGGCTGCAGCCATTTCAGCAGACCTGGTCCGGACCAGACCGGACCGCACCTGACCCACTTCGATCTACCAAATATTGCATGGGCATTTCCCAGATCTCCACCAACTTGCATTTTTTTCCCATTTAAAAAATAAATTATTAAAAAAACTTTTATTTAATGACTAGGATACCCTCGGTCCTCTTTCCCCGTCAACAGCTAGACGCGACGGCGGTTAATCCTCTCGCTCTACACGCGCGCATGGCTCCTTTACCTTTTTCTTTTTTTTTTTCTCGTTCTTCTTTATTGTTAATG